CACAAAAGTTATCATTAAACAGAAGAGAATCTAACCCACTCTCCTTTACATTCTTCGGCACCATCATTGCTGAATCTACCACAACAAAAATCCTGGGGATTACCATTGATTGGAAGCTGACTCAACAAGCCATGTAAATGCTGTTTATATAATAAATAAAGCTCAAGAGCAGGTCAGTGGCTAGAAATTCTCAGCAAATAACACACCTCCTATAGCCTCTGTGCCAGTCGCCTACGATGTTCATACACAATTCGGGAATGTGATAGAATATTTTCCACTTGCCAAGATGAGGCAGTTTCAACAAAAATTCAAGAAGTTCTTCATGATCCAGTCAGCTTGATTGCCATCCTATCTACAAACACCCTCCACAAACACAATGACAACATTATTTACCATTTATAAGATGCACTGTAGCAACAGTACCTTCCAAACCCTTGCTCTTTACTGTCTAGAAGGACAAGGGCAGGTACTTGGCAGCACTACTACCTGAAACTTCCCTTCCAAGACACACAACATCCTGACTTGGAACTGTATCAACCTTCCTTCACTGTCACTGGGTAATTTTATGATCTTCTTTCCAAACAGCATTGTAGGGTGTGCCTATACCCTAGTTACTGCAGTACATTCCAAGTGGATACTACCATCACTCACTGTACAACAGAGAACTCATCTCAGCATGGATAGCTAAACAATATCTGAGGAATCATGAATGGTGCTGAACATTGTACAATCATCGGAGAACATCCCACTTCTGACCTTATGTTGGAGGGAAGGTCATTGATGAAACAGCTTCTTTAAAAAGGAGCTAACTTAATTATGTTTTCTCTGACTGAGTGAGTTTATTAGTTATTAAAAGTGAGCAGTAATATGAATGCAACAACATACAGAATAGAAATGATAAGCATCCAAAAATGAGTTAAAAGATATGCAGTTCAGTCTCTGTATTGTTCAAGAAGAGTAGATAGTGGAATGTTGATAGTCAAGCAGTCTGTTTTGAGATTCTTGAATGTGCAGGTTGATTGTAACTCTTTTGTTGTTTGCTTTTGAGTGGCTTGCTAGCAAGCTGCTTTCTTGCACTCAGTGTCAGCCTTTTACCTGTAATGCAGTGGGTGATTCAACAACTATGATCACACACCAAACTGAACTCACTTTTGACTGAATTCTTGTGTGTTATTAAAAAGGAAGCACAAAATATATCTCTTGCCCAGACTGCAGCCTTTCCCCCCATTATGTTCACAGTTTGAGATAATTCCTCAGAGATTGCAGCTCGGTTTGTAGTGCATTTGCTCCCTTTTAGGATTATTCCTTTGAAGTTTCCTTGGCAATTCATCATGTGTCATTCCAGGCTGTCTCTTTCTCTCTCTCGCCAGATGGTCAGTGAACTTACACCTGTAATTATTTTGGCTGTATCAGTCTTTTTAATAATATAACCTGTTGATATTTCACACAGGAAAAAGACAATGTAGTCGAAGAGAATTTCACACAGGAAAAAGACAATGTAGTCGAGGAGAATATCACACAGGAAAAAGACAATGTAGTCGAGGAGAATACTGAGATACAGTCTATTAGTCTAGACGGGATTGAGGTTCATAAGGAGGAGGTGTTAGCAATTCTGGAAGGTGTGAAAATAGATAAGTCCCCTGGGCTGGATGGGATTTATCCTAGGATTCTCTGGGAAGCTAGAGAGGAGATTGCAGAGCCTTTGGCTTTGATCTTTATGCCGTCATTGTCTTCAGGAAAAGTGCCAGAAGACTGGAGACTAGCAAATGTTGTCCCCTTGTTCAAGAAGGGGAGTAGAGACAACCCTGGTAATTATAGACCAGTGAGCCTTACTTCGGTTGTGGGTAAAGTGTTGGAAAGGATTATAAGAGATAGGATTTATAATCATCTAGAAAGGAATAATTTGATTAGGGATAGTCAACACGGTTTTGTGAAGGGTAGGTCGTGCCTCACAAACCTTATTGAGAAGGTGACCAAACAGGTGGATGAGGGTAAAGCGGTTGATGTGGTGTATATGGATTTCAGTAAAGCGTTTGATAAGGTTCCCCATGGTAGGCTGTTGCAGAAAATACGGAGGCATGGGATTGAGGGTGATTTAGCGGTTTGGATCAGAAATTGGCTAGCTGTAAGACGACAGAGGGTGGTGGTTGATGGGAAATGTTCATCCTGGAGTTCAGTTACTAGTGGTGTACCTCAAGGATCTGTTTTGGGGCCACTGCTGTTTGTCATTTTTATAAATGACCTGGATGAGGGCGTAGAAGGATGGGTTAGTAAATTTGCGGATGACACCAAAGTCGGTGGAGTTCTGGATAGTGCGGCAGGATGTTGCAGGTTACAGAGGGACATAGATAAGCTGCAGAGCTGGGCTGAGAGGTGGCAAATGGAGGTTAATGCGGAAAAGTGTGAGGTGATTCACTTTGGAAGGAGTAACAGGAATACAGAGTACTGGGCTAATGGTAAGATTCTTGGTAGTGTGGATGAGCAGAAAGATCTCGGTGTCCATGTGCATAGATCACTGAAAGTTGCCACCCAGGTTGATAGCGTTGTTAAGAAGGAGTACGGTATGTTAGGTTTTATTGGTAGAGGGATTGAGTTTCGGAGCCATGAGGTCATGTTGCACCTGTACAAAACTCTGGTGCGGCGGCACTTGGAGTATTGCATACAGTTCTGATCACCGCATTTGAGGAAGGATGTGGAAACATTGGAAAGGGTGCAGAGGAGATTTACCAGGATGTTGCCTGGTATGGAGGGAAGGTCTTATGAGGAAAGGCTGAGGGTCTTGAGGCTGTTTTCGTTGGAGAGAAGAAGGTTAAGAGGTGACTTAATAGAGACATACAAGATGATCAGAGGATTAGATAGGGTGGAGAGTGGGAGCCTTTTTCCTCGGATGGTGATGGCTAGCACGAGGGGACATAGCTTTAAATTGAGGGGTGATAGATATAGGACAAATGTCAGAGGTAGGTTCTTTACTCAGAGAGTAGTAAGGGCGTGGAATGCCCTGCCTGCAAAAATAGTAGACTCGCCAACTTTAAGCGCATTTAAATGGTCATTGGATAAACATATGGATGATAATGGAATAGTTTAGGTTAGATGGGCTTCAGATTGGTTTCACAGGTCGGCGCAACATCGAGGGCCGAAGGGCCTGTACTGCGCTGTAATGTTCTATGTTCTATGTTCTAAGTTCAATACATGCTTGATGACATTGACCTTATTAACTAAGGCAAGCTTGCTTCTAACCCTGCAGAATGGTGAAAACCTGCCTATAAAACTGTGTCAAGTCTTAATGATGAGGCAGTAGCAGCAGAAAAAGAAAGACAAGGAAGCAAATCTTGCACTCTGAATCCCATTATATCATGGAACATCCTGTACCATGTACACAGTGAAGAACTGGCCTACCATGTCACATGAAGACCCCTGGCAGAAACTCAAAACCCTGCATAGATATCTTCCTCAAACTGAGGCTCAACTAGCGAGGTGGATAGAAATGACTCCAAGAAAATCATAGAATCTGTACAGTGTGGAAGTAGGCCATTCAGTCCATAAAATCCACAAAAACCCTCTGAAGAGCATCCCACCTAGACCCACCCCCCTACCCTTGGAACCCTGCATTTCCCATGGCTAATCAACCTAGCCTGCACACCACGGACAATTTAGGATGGCCGATCCACTAATCTGCACATTTTTGGACTGTGGGAGGAAATCCACACAGACATGGAGAGAACATGCAAAATCCACACAGTCACCCAAAGCTGGAACCAAACCCGTCTCCTTGTCACTGTGAGGCAGCTGCATTAACCTCTAAGCCACCGTGCCACCCAGTGGAGTTATCCCTTCTGTCTTTCAATCAACATCACAAAACATGATATCTGCACATTTTCATCTTGCTGTTTGTGGGGACCTTGCTTTGTACAAGATTGATCGCCCTGTTTCCATCATTGCAACATTTGCCACACTTTAATATTACTCAAATAAAAGCAAAATGCTGAAGGAGCTGGAAATTTGAAAAAAAAATTCTAAAGAATAGTCACATTGGACTCAAAACATTAAGGGATAGTAGGAACTGGCGATGCTGGAGAATCTGAGATAACAAGGTATAGAGCTGGATGAACACAGCAGGCCAAGCAGCATCAGAGGAGCATGAAAGCTGATATTTCGGGTCTGGACCTTTCTTCAGAAAATGCAGGCCTGGGAGAGGGAGGCTCTGAGCTGGGGTAGGCTTGATTGTAGTGCCAGGAGATGCCGATGCATTGCTGTGTGTGTTTGAGGAGTCGCAGGGAGAAACGTTTTTGAAAGATTTGAATGTTCCATATGTAGCGGTTGTCGCAGTTGGGGCCAAATTGGGAAGGCCTGAATGTAGACTGTAGTCCATTGGGGATGATCTGGTTCCGTAGGCAGGTACTGAGAAAGGCAATGTGGCTGTAGTACCTGGTTTGCTTCAGGACGTGGTCAAGCAGTTTCAGGGCCGAAGAGATTACAAGAGGGTTGCAATGGGAGAGAGATCCACTGAGGTCTTTCAGGAGGGAGCCATTTTCTGAAGAAGGGTCCAGACCCGAAACGTCAGCTTTCCGGCTCCTCTGACGCCGCTTGGCCTGCTGTGTTCATCCAGCTCTACACCTTGTTATCTCGAAACATTAACTTTGTTTCTTTCTCCAAAGGTTCTGCTGGGCCTGGAGTTGCGCTAGCACTTTCTCTTTTTACTTCAAAAGTACTCAGTTAATTGTAAGTGCTTTGAAACTTACTGGTGTCACGATAGAATCTATATAAATGGAAGTCTTCATTTATTTCTTCATTCACCCTGCCCATAATTCTGTTTCTTACAATATCGCTGGTATTTTTAATTCCGCTTCCTCACACTGTTCACCCTGTAACTCCTCGTCAATACCTCATGTTACCTACTGCACAGTTACTAACGATGTTCTGGACTGGGATATACAAAACTGGTAATGGTGGTTAGAATTCCCGTGGAACCCTGCGCTCCAGAATCTCCTTTTTCCGGCACTTCCCAGAAGGTGCGCGTGCGCCACGCACAAGTACATCCTGGTCTGCACACTGGACGGCGGAGAATGGCGGAACGAAATCGGGTGGAGAGTTCGGCCCAGGGGTGAGATATGCTTGCATCTACAGGTTCTGCTTCCATATTCAGGCTTGGAAAGCTCCTTCCACCGCGTCCGCTGGCCAGCCATCGCTTTTCATTCCAACCACGCCAGTGTATCCGCTGACGGCCGTTGCGAATAGGGCAGTTTCCCTGGCGCAATGCACTCTGGACTAACGCGCCGCCATTGAAATGTCTCGTTATAGTGGGAGCAAGTGGCCCATTACTGTTTGGAGCAAGAGGGCAATGACGAACAGAAAGGCGGGGATGCTGTTGCTCTCTGCTACGTCCTCCTTTTCATATAACATTTAATGTCATTGCAAATTGTAGTCAACGCTATTCACGAGTAAAATCGCCCCTTGCACCAAGTTTTTTTGCCGTCGTTGACGGTCAATCATGTCAGCTTCAGGACATTATTGCAGGGGTTCCTCAGGGTAGTGCCCTTGGCATAATTACCTTCAAATATTTCATCAGTAACCTTCCCTCTAACATAAGGTCAGAAGTGAAATACTGTAGTTTGATGATGATTGCAAAGTGTTAGGTACCATTTAAGACTTCTTAGATAGTGAAGCAGTCTCTGTCCAAATGAAAAAAAAAGACTTGAATCATATTCGTGCTTGGGCTGACAAGTAGTAAGTAACATTTCATCAGTCAAATGCCAGACAATATCTGTCTCCAGTATATAGAATCCAACCAGTGACATTCAATACCATTACCTTCACTGAATCATCCAATATCTAGTGGATTACTTTTGACCAGAAATTTAAATAGACCAACCACATCAATACTGTGGCTGGAAGAGTGGCTCAGGGCTAGATATTTTGTGCTTTATATATCACTTCTTGTCTCTTCAGTGCAAGTCCACCACCTGCAAGACTCAAGTCAGGACTGTGTTGAAATACTTCTCACTTGTCTGGAAGAGAGCAGTTCCAATGACACTCAGCTCAGTGTCAAAGACAAAGTAGCCTGATTGATCAGCAATATTAACTCTCAGGATATTGCTGGCATTCAGCAATGTAACACTGCTGAATACATCTATATATGACTCCAACCAGCAGAGATTTCCCCTATTCCCATTGACTTCAATTTTGCTGGAGCTCTTTGATGTCATATGCAGTAAAATGTGGTCACTCTTGCTTCACCTCATTAATTCAGTTCTTTGCCCATGTTTGATGAAGCCTGTAATAAGAACACAAGAACTCTGAGCAGGAGTAGACAATTCAGCTCCTCAAGCCTGCACCACCATCTAATGCAATCATGGCTGATCTCATTTTGGCCTCAACTCCACTTTCCTGCTTGTTGTCTGTAGGACCATTCCCACCGCACCCCGTCCCCACCGCTGGCCACCCAACCGGGGCAAAGACTCAGGAGGCAGGCAGGATTCAGGCAGTGGCAGACTTTTATTCAAGCAAAACCGATTAATGCAGGGGGAGGGCCAAAGACCTTTCCCGAATCTGGCCTTGATGTGAAAACCGGTCGTTCTCTTAATCCACGGCTCAGATCAGAAGAAATATGAATGACGCACTCTGATTTTTACGGTGAAATACAGCATTTTTATACATTTTGTGTTACAATAATCACATACAGTGTGGTCATAGTGTCCTTCCCGCCCCTCCATTCCATACATCCAATCCTGTGAAACACCTAGTTGATGAAGGACATTCCTGTGGACAGCCCCAGGTTCCCATGATCTCATGGTGTTTAACAGTCCATGTAATCGCCAGTCCATGGGATCTTTCTATGCATCCTATTTACATTCCAAAGTTACTGGTTATACTGCGTCGCATCTATCCCGGACATGCTTATCTCTAAGGACTGCTTAAATTCTGTTATTCATTGTACTCCATGTGCTATTCTATCAAATTCTGTTATTCGTCTTATATTTTCCACTGTCCAAATTATACATAAAAAATACAAAAGACTGTTGATCTCAATGACTGCTATAAGATTCGTAGATATAATTTCCCATTATAAAGTTAATTGTACTTTTTAACTAATAAATTGCAAACAATCTATTTTGTTCAGGACATGCCCGGCATCTTTTTAAGTAATAAGGAGAGCATTTCCCAAGACTGATTAACTTTCACACCTAGGTTTAAATACTTTTCCACTAATGTTTCTATTACACTTTGGTTATATATGTATCTATAATTATGTTGAAATCTATCTCAATAATTATCTGAAGAATCTTTAACTAAACCTATTTCTTAATATTGGGAATAACTTCAAAGAAACAACTGATTACTACAAAATAATTTTAGCTATTGTTTAATGAGTTAGACTGACTGGTTCATGAACTGAGATTTACACCCCTTGTTCTAACTGGCACTGTTCACCTAATGGGACAACATCCTTTCATTAACGAGGCTGGAATCAATCACTTGTCATATTTTAATGAACTTGTGTCTATCCTTAGATGTCCTCTTACCAAACTGTCTCGGATGATTGCTTGTAGGGCCTCCCGTTCACCTTGGAGTAGCCCTGTTCAAAGGTAACATAATGTTTCACTTAATTGCTGGAGCAGGATGTTTTAATTCTATTTATCCCTTATTGGCCGTTTTGTGTCTTTCAAACATGGGTAGCCCTTACACTCTCCATAACCCTTCAATCCATTACTAATTAAAAATCTTTCTGTAATGAGATCTGGATCCAAGCAGTCTTGGCAGGATCCAATGTGAATGTCTTGAGCCTGTTATTCTTAAGTAATATGGCACTAATAACATTGTGGACAATAACATTCTGTCACTTTTCTAATAGTTGAGAGTAGGCTGATACGGGCAGTAATTTCCCAGTTTAGAATTGCAGACAGGTCGTATCTGGACAGTTTTGCACCTTTCAAGAAGATACCAAGTCAGCTCTGGTCTGAATTATTCTGTTTAGCACAGTGGTAGTAATACACAACAAAATGGAAGATGTCCTCAGTTTGAATACAGCACTTTGTCTCCACAAGGATTGTGCAATTGCCATAGACCTTAGAATCACTACAGTGTGGAAACAAGGCCTTCAGCCCAACAAGTCCATGTTGACTCTCAGAGCATCCTATGCAGACCCATCCCCCGATAACCCACCTAATCTACACATCCCTGAACACTGGGCAATTTAGCACGGCCAATCCATCCAGCCTGCACATCTTTGCACTGTGAGAGGAAACCAGAGCACCCGGAGGAAACCCACACAGACATGGGGAGAACATGCAAACTACACACAGACAGTCACCCGAGGGTGAAATCGAACCCAGGTTCCTGGTGCTGTGAGGCAGCAGTGCTAACCACTGAGCCACCATGCCGCCCCATGTCATTTCTACCAATACTATCATCGTCAGTTACTTTTGTGACACATGGCTTAGTGAGGGTGAGTTCATGTCAGTTTGTTCCTCTTGTTATTTTCCCTTGGCAGTTGCCACATGCAGTATCAGTAGTAGTGCTACTAAACCACTCTTGTGATGGTCATTGAAGTTCCCCACGGAAATTTGTGTTCTTGCTCCTCTCAGTGCTTTTTCCAAGTGCTGTTCAACATGATTCAACTGATTCTCCAGCTAGGGGGAGAACAATAGGTAGTAATCAGTTAGTGTTTTCTTCAGTACTCAGTCAAATGGCTGCTGAGTCTATTCTGCTCGCTTCACCTGCAGTAAAATGCAGCCTTCAAAATAACAATTTGACTTGAAATTCCTTTCATGTAGCCTGTGCCATACCATTGAAGAGGAACAAACGTGGGAGAAGAATGTTTGACAGAAATTGGATCTGGCTGTTTCAAATTTTCTGTTTGTTATTGCATAAATGGGTTTTGTAACCTGGTTTTGCAAGGATTGTACAGCTCAGGTAGATATTAAGTGCTGCCTTTAAACATTGAAACGTTAGAAAATAGTCCTGCAATTCCTGTTGAGCAGTGGTGTTGTAGTCTCAGGTAGATATGAAAACGAATGTAAGAGTGTTACAGAAGAATAGCTTATTTGCAGCCACACTTGCCTTTGCATCATAATGATCTACATGGCAGTATCTCAGTTCTGTAAAAATCACTTCATGCAATTTTAAGAGATTAAGAAGAGACCATAGCCAGCATGCAAATCAGGTATCATTCTAGGGCCATGGACAGAGCTTGTGTAAGTTTGGCATCCACAGCTTTAAAGGTAAGAATGTTCAAGAGAACCTAGACTTAGATCTTTGCTCTGTCCTTAATAGCAATTATTTCTGCAAACCTTTTCACAGGGTATCAAAAATGGAAGATTTACAGATGAAAAATCTGAACCAAACTTCACACCAAGATCTTAAAGAGACACAGCAAAATCCTAAAGAGTCATTCAGTTCACCAGGAAATATAGATCATCTAACTTTACCCGTGGAGGAAGAAATGTTTGTTTGTTCTGTCTGTGGTAAAGGATTTCAAACATTAACGTGGCTGGAAGAGCACCAAGACACACACACTCGAGTGGGTATGTTCCAGTGCACTGACTGTGAAAAATGCTTTAACCAATTACACAGCCTGAGAAAACATCGCACTGCTCACAGTGAGGAGAAACCATACACTTGTTCCGTGTGTGGGCAAGGCTTCAGGCAATCAGCTAGCCTCATGCGGCACCACTGTAGTCATGCTCGGGAACCACCGTATCAATGTGAGGACTGTGGAAAGGGATTCAGTTACCTGTCCAAACTGCAAACCCACCAGCGAGTTCACACTGGGGAGAGGCCATTCAGCTGTTCCATATGTGGGAAAGGATTCAGTGAATCATTTAGTCTCCAGATGCACCAGCGGGTTCACACTGGGGAAAGGCCATTCGGCTGCTTTGTGTGTGGGAAGAGTTTTATCCGGTCAGCCCACCTGCTGAGACACCAACGAGTTCACACCGGGGAGAGACCATTCACTTGTTCTGTGTGTGGGAAGGGATTTACCCGTTCCTCCATCCTATTAGAACACCAACGGGTTCACACTGAGGAAAGGCCCTATAAGTGCTCAATCTGTGGGAAGAGCTTCAAAAGTTCCAATGAAGTGAAAGTCCATACACTGATTCACTCTGGACAGAGACAATACAGCTGTTCTCACTGTGGGAAGAGTTTTGTACAATCCTGCAACCTGTTGAAACACAAAAGAATTCATACAGGGGACACACCCTTCATCTGCTCAGTGTGTGGAAAGGGGTTTGTGGAGTCGGCCACACTTCTGAGACACCATCGGGTTCACACTGGGGAAAGACCTTTTACCTGCTCAGTCTGTGGGAAAGGATTCAGTCATTCATCCTCCTTGCTGAATCACCAGCGAATTCACACTGGGGAGAGGCCATTTACCTGCTCCACCTGTGGGAAGGAATTCAATCGGTCATCAAACCTATTAAGACACCAGCGAGTTCACCTGTGACTGCAGTGAGTGGATTCTGCTGAATGTTCAAGACGGACTGTGTTGGGATTTGTTTCTGCTGAAGTAAAGTAATTCTTAGAATGAGGTTGGATTTTAATATTCTGTGCAGTCGTTTTAAACACATGTTCATTCAAGCCTTTGTTATTTTTAAGATGAAATGAAATCTAATTGTTGCCTTTTTTGGGATGTATTGTCCTTTTGAAGACTGCCACCTTGATTATTCTCTACTGATCAATGACACGCAGGGAAACGTCTTTTATAATTACAAAATAAAAGTCTTGACATAAATCTTGAATTAATCTTTGTTATATCTATTCAGCATCTGATGAAGCAAATTATTAAAGTCTCCAATAAAAGAAGTGCTTATTGGTCCGTGTTGATCCATGTCGACAATTTCTACTGTTTTGCATATTGTACTTTGTTGGGGACTTGCTTATCCAACAGAAATTGATGATTGATTTATTGTCACATGTACCGAAATACAGTGAAAAGCTTTGTTTACGTGTGGTACAGGCAGATCACAGCAAGCAAAAGATGTACAGATCAAAAAGACTTAGAGGCATACAGGTTACATTGCAGGTTACATTATTTGAGGCGAGAGTCCATTCAACAGTCAGATAATGGCGAGAAAGAAGCTGTACCTGGACCTGCTTGTGTGTGTGTTCAGGCTTCTGCATCTACTACCTGACAGAAGAGGTTGTAGGAGATCATTACCAGGGTGCGATGGGTATTTGATGATGTTAGCTGCCTTTCCGTGGTAGTGAGCCGTGTAAATAGGGTCCGTTGGCTTCCGTGATGATCTGGGCTGTGCACACAGCCTTCTGCAGTTTTTATGGTCCTGGGTAGAGCAGTTGCCATACCAGGCCATTACACACCCAGACAGTATGCTTTCAATAGTGCATCTGTAGAAGTTGCTGAGGGACCTTATGGACGTGACAAATGTCCTGAGCCACCTGAGGAAGAAGAGGCCTTTTTGACTGTTGCATTTACATGGGAAGTCCAGGACAGGTCATCGATTATTGTCAGACTAAGGAACTTGATACTCTTCACTCTCTCAACCTCTGTTCTGTTGATGTGGACGTGCGGGTGTGTTCTCCTTTCTTTCTGAAGTCGATGATCAGTTCTGTATTTTGCCGATGTTGAGAGACAGATTGTTCTCGTTGAACCATGTCACCAAGCCCTCTATCTCCCTTCTGTATTTTGAGTCATTGTTATTAGATATCCATCCCACTACGGTGGTGTTGTCAGCGAACTTATAGATGGCGTTATTTGGAATTTGGTAACATGGTCATGGGTGTTCAGGGAGTACAGTAGGCGGCTAGGGATGCATCCTTGGGGGACCCCAGTGTTGAATGTTATTGTGGAGGAGGTGCAATTACCTATTTTCACTGATTGCGGCCTATGGGTCAGAAAGCTGAGGATCCAATTGTAGAGGGTGGAGCCAAGACCAAGGTCACACAGTTTTGAGATCAAGTCTGGAGGGGATAATGGTGTTGAAGCTGGAGCTGTAGTTAACAAGCAGGGGTCTGACGCAGGTGATTTCGTTGTCCAGATGTTCCAGGGATGAGTGCAGGGCTGGGAAAATGCCATCCTCTGTGGATCTGTTATGTTGGTAGGCAAACTGTAGGGGATCAAGGCAGATTGGGAGACTGAACATAGAACAGTACAGCACAATACAGACCCTTCGGCCAACCTATTATCCTACTAAGATCAATCTACCCTGCACACCCTACATTTTACTATCCTCCATGTGCCTATCCACGAGTCGTTTAAAAGTCTCTAAAGTATTTGACTCCACTATCACTGCCGGCAGCGCATTCCACACACCCACCACTCTCTGTGTAAAGAACCTACCTCTGACACCTCCCCTATACCTTCCTCCAATCACCTTAAAATTATGCCCCCTCGTAATAGTCATTTCTGCCCTGGGAAAAAGTCTCTGACTATCCACTCTCTCTATGCCTCTCATCATCTTGTACACCTCTATCAAGTCACCTCTCATCCTTCTTTGCTCCAATGAAGAAAGCCCTAGCTCTCTCAACCTTTCCTCATAAGACCTGCCCTCCAGTCCAGGAAGCATCTTGGTAAATCTCCTCTGCACCCTCTCTAAAGCTTCCACATCTTTCCTGTAATGAGGCGAACAGAACTGAACACAATATTCAAAGTGAGGTCTAACCAGAGTTTTATAGAGCTGCAGCATAACCTCACGGCTCTTAAACTCAATTCCCCTCCCAATGAAAACCAACACACCATGCGCCTTCTTTACAACCCTTTCCACTTGGGTCGCAACTTTGAGGGATCTATGGACGTGGACCCCAAGATCCCTCTGTTCCTCCACACTGCCGAGAATCCTGCCATTAACCCTGTATTCTGCATTCAAATTCGACCTTCCAAAATGAATCACTTCACACTTTTCTGGGTTGAATTCCATCTGCCACTTCTTTGCCCAGCTCTGCATCCTGTCAATGTCCCGTTGCAACCTACAACAGCCCTCCACAACTCCACCAACCTTCATGTCATCGGCAAACTTACTAACCCACCCTTCCACTTCCTCATCCAAGTCATTTATAAAGATCACAAAGAGCAGAGGTCCCAGAACAGATCCCTGCGGAACACCACTGATCACCGAGCTCCAGGCTGAATACTTTCCATCGACTACCACCCTCTGTCTTCTATTGGACAGCCAATTCTGTATGCAGACAGCTAAATTTCCCTGAATTCCATGCCTCCTTACTGGAGTTGATGTTTGCTGAGGATTGGTGGATTAGCAAGAGATCCTGATGGAGATTATTGGATGAGCATGAGATCCTGATGGGGTTTGGAAGCCACTCACTCCTTCGAACCTGCTCCACCTTTCAATAAGATAATGACTAATCTGGTTTTAACCTCATGTCCACATTCCTGCATATCTACAATAATCTTTCATCCCCTTGTATTCAAAAATCTATCTACCTCTGCTTTAAAAATATTTAAAGATTCTCATTGCCTATTTTTCAAGGGAAGGAATTTCAAAGATTCACAACCCTTTGAAATAATTTATTTATCCTCATCTCTATTTTAAATGGGTGATCCCTTATTTTGTAACTATAATCCCTAGTTCTAGAATCTCCCACAAAAGGAAACATCTTTTTCACATATATCTGTTCAAGTCTTTTCAGAATCTTGTATGTTTTAACGAAGCTACCTCTGACTCTTACAAACTCCAGAGGATACAGGCCTAGCCTGTCTAGCCTTTCCTCATAAGGCAATGAGGAGGTGATGACCTAGTGGTATTATCGCTGGACTGTTAATCCAGAGACCCAGATATTGTTCTGGGGACCTGGGTTCGAATCCTGCCATAGCAGATGGTGGAATTTGAATTCAATAAAATATCTGGAATTAAGAAACTAATGATGACTGTGAATCCATTGTCAATTGTCGTAAAAACCCACCTGGTTCACAAATGTCCTTTAGGGCAGGAAACTGCCATCCTTACCTGGTCTGGCCTACATGCGACTCCAGACCCACAGCAATGTGGTTGACTCTTAACTGCCCTCGGGGAAATTAGGGATGGGCAACAAAATGCTGCCTGGCCTTCAACCTGTGAATGAATAAAGGAAAAAAAAATCTGCCCAGTCCAGGTACTGGACCAACAAGCCTTCTCTGAACCACTCAATCTCATTAACATCCTTCCATAAGTATGGTTATCAGTGCTGTACTCCAGATATGATCTTGCCAATGTCCTGTATAACTGAAATGTAACCTCCTTACTCATGCATTCACACTAAAAGATAATGTTTGATCAGCTTTCCTGATTACTTGCTGTTCCCGCACACTAACCTTCTGTGATTCATGCACTAGAATACCCAGATCTCTCTGCATCTCAGAGCTCTGCAACCTCTCACCGTTTAGATAATATGCTTCTTTTCATTCTTTCTGCCAAAGTGGATAATTTCACACTTTCCCACATTATACACTATTTGGGAGATCTTTGCCCACACAACCTATCTATTCCCTTTGTAGACTCCTTAGGTCCTCCTCAACTCACTTTCCTGCCTATCTTTGTACCATCAGCAAATTTAGTGATCATACCTTTGGAATTATTTATATAAATTGGAGCAATGTAGTTGACTTTTAAGTGCCCTTCGAAATGGCCTATCAAGCCACTCAGTTCTATAAATTGCTACGAAGTCTTCAGAAGGAAATGAAACCGGATGGACCATCTGACATTGACTTAGGCACCAGAATAGACAACGGTTGAAACAGCCTGTTGAACTGGCAAAGTCCTCCTTACTAACTTCGGGACTAGAGTCAAATTTGGGAGAGCTGTCTCATAGGCTAGTCAAGCAATGGCCTGATATAGTCATACTCGGAATCGTACCTGACAGACAATGTCCAGACACCACCATCGCCATCCCTGGATATGTCCTGTCCCACGGTCAGGACAGACACATCAGAGACAGCAGCACAATAGTATACAGTCAGGAGGGATTTGCCCTTGGTATCACTAACATTGACTCTAGACCCCATGAAGTCCATGACTCCAGGCTAAACATGGGCAAGGAAATTTCCTGCTGATTACCACATACAATCCTCCTTCGGCTGATGAATCAGTACTCCTCCATGTTAAACAACAGTTGGAGAAAACACTGAGGGTGGCAAGGGCACAAAATGTACTCTGCTTGGGGGATTTCAATGTCCACCACCGAGTGGCTGGACAGCAACACGACTGATCAAGCTGGTCGGGTCCTAAAGAACATAGCTGTTAGACTGGGACTGCACCAGGTAATGAGGGAACCAACAGGAGGGAGAAACATACATGACTGCATCCTTACCAACCTACTGGCCTGCAGATGCATCTGCCCAAGAATCACCGCCACACAGTTCTTGTGGAGACAAAGTCCCACTTTCACATTAAGAATTCCCTTCATTGTGTTATGTGACACTATCAATGTGATAAATGGAACAGGCTTCAAACAGATGTAGCAACTCAAGACTGAACATCATGAGGTGCTGTGGGCCATCAACAGCAGCAGAATTGTACTCCAGCACAATCTGTAACCACATTGCCTGGCTTATCCCCCCACTCAACCGTTACCATCAAGCCAGGGGATCAACCCTGGTTCAATAAAGAATGCAGGAGGGCATGCCAGGAGCAGCATCAAGCATGCCCAAAAATGAGCTGTCTGCAGTCTCACCACATCTAATTGTGAATGGTGGTGCACAATTAAACAACTGATTGGAGGAGGAGGCTCCACAAACATCCCCCTCCTCAATGATGGAAGAGCTTAGCACATCAGTGCAAAAGATAAGCAGCAATCTTCA